TCAACCACACCAAAACCGGAGTCATGCACATCAATGCCGCCACCCCTCCAGTGCAAGCTCCAGCAGTCACAGTGGGTGCCCATCCTCTCCAGCTGGTGCAGTCTGCCAAACTCCTGGGTGTTACCATAGACCACAAACTGGACTGGAAGGCCCATATAAACAACACAATCAAGGCAGCCTCGTACCGACTCTACATGCTACGACGACTTAGGTCACTTGGGGCACCCACGCCAGAGCTGAGGACTATCTATAACGCCTTTATTCTCTCCAAACTAACGTATGCGTCACCAGCCTGGTCGACTTCTCTCAACTCTACCCAACAACGCCAGTTAGAGAAGGTACAGAAAAGGCCTGCAGAGTCATGCTCGGCGCAGACTACTCCGGCTACAACAACGCTCTCTCCACCCTGGAAATGCCATCCTTCAGTGACCTTCACCACCAGGGCCGGATTTACCTACTTGTGGGCCCCAGGCCAAACTCATCAGTGGGCCCCATACTCCGGGCCCTATACTTATTGTACAGGGGCCCTTATGGTTGTGAATATATTATATAATGAAATACTCGGCGTACACTTGAAACAAGGTTATACGCTGGTACGCTGCGCTACAAATTAGTTTCAGAGGGCCCCCAGATACCGGTGGGCCCTAGGCCAATGGCCTACTTCGCCTATTGGTAAATCCGACCCTGTCCACCACCAAGCACTAGCAAGGTTTGGCAGTGGACTAATGAACCATCCTCGCCATCGCCACCTCCTCCCACCGGCAGTCCCCCGCCCACCTTGCACAGTCCGCCACTACGACAAAACTCAGCCCATAAGAGCCCGCACTGATAGATATAAGAACAGCACCATCCCATCTATTGTTAAAATAATAAACAACTGATTATGTACTGTGCAGCCCTGGAAATGTATTCAACGCATATCATTATGTCTAAATCAAATGTAAGTTTGTATATTTTCAGCCACAGGCTACAACTCTATTAATAAACCGTTTATTATTATTATTTATTATTTTAACACCACACATACACTCTCGCATCTTAAAACATCGACACAGACAACAAAGATTAACAGACGTCAAAAGGATATTAAACGAACAACAATCATCATTAGTATCGTTATTATCAATCATCTTGGCCCCACACAACAGCACCTTAAGTGTGTCATCGTGTACAGCGTCCACTCACCTGCTGCCTCTCACACCTTCAATTCGTTGGTACACCTGATGTTCATTTACACACCTGTTATATTGTTCACTTGCTGTTCACTTCATCACCTGTTGTTCAATTGTTCATCTGCGTTGTACAGGGCCACCTGCTGTGTACTCTCTCTCTCTCTCTCTCTCTCTCAAGCACGAAATGAGAATCAATCACGCAACACTTATGATCTTTTTATTGGGCAGAAGTCAACAGTTATCTGAGAGCAACACTGCCAAGACACGGAGCAGATCTTAATGTTACGTGTCTGTGTGTGTGTGTGTGTGTGTTGACGGTATAGGTAGTGGTGATGGTGATGTTAGTGGTAATGGTGGTGATGAGTGCAGGTGGTAGAGGCGATGATGGTGAACGCTCCATCACCGCCACCACTGACAGAGAAAGTCGGACACTGCACCACTACACTGGTCATTAGTCGCTACTTCCTACTCAAGATCTCCTCCATACACACACACACACACTATTGCAGGAACGGTGTGTACGCAGGTGTTGTGGCTGTGGTGTACACTGGAGTGGTAATTACAGTTACACTAGTTATATTGACGGTATACCACACATTACATCACTGTCAGTCACCAATTAATTTCATCACCAATTACGCTTGTCACCAATTACGTTCACCACTAATTACGTTCATCACACATCAAACCCCAATTTTACGAATTATCATGAATGCCAATCATTATTTCCACTTCCAACAAGTATCATTTCCAATAATCACCAATTATTCACACCATAAATTACATCAATCACCAATTACGGCAATCACTAAACTACCCAATTATACCATTTACAAAAATAGTTCTAAACAACAACAAACAGAACAAAAAGCACGCTCAAAGAAATACTTAAAAACCCAATTAATGTAAAAAAACAAACAGTAACTAACCTCTCGGTCGGCAAATCAGACTAACCCATCGTGTTTTTGTTTAGATTTCATAAACAAAGTGTCCGTGGAAGTAAAAAAAAAATTTATTTATATATATATATATATATATATATATATATATATATATATATATATATATATATATATATATATATATATATATATATATATATATATATATATATATATATATATAGTTTCAAGGATTATAAACGAAAGAAAAACCTCAAACGTAAATTTTACATAACGAATAGAAGTAGGTAAAATCATAATGAATGTAAATAGAATAAACTAAAGGAATTATCACAGAATCGAGATGTCAATAAAACAGCTGAGCTGACTGGCGGGAGACGGATACATCTCGTAAAATAATGCTGTTGTTGATATTACGTCCTCTGACGCTACACACCCTGGCAGGTTGTTGCTCTTCATCAGGAGTGTTGTTGTTCCATGTTCTTGGTGACACTGGTGTATTTAATAGTTCTTGTAGATGTTATTTTTAGGGATATTACTTTTTTGTTATCAGTTATTCACTGATGCTATTTCTAATGTTATCGATGTTATCATTAATGTTATTTATGCTATCATTAATTATTAATATTTGAGCCCGGCGGTTGAATGGATACAGTACAGTGCTCGCCCCTGTTCCACGGGTCGGTGGTTAGATCCCGGACACTCCCAGTTCATCCAGCTGTAAATGGGTACCTTCATTTTAAAATTGGGGAAGTGAATGCAGTCGAGCGCCGTACCGACCATGCTGCCTCTTCGTGTACCAAAGGTTTAGTACAGTGTGCTGTATCCACACTGTCCCTATCTGTTGTTTTTGTCACGTTAGTGTTACTATTATTTTTGTCACTGCTGATGTTGAAATTTTCCTCGGTGATGCCACATTTGTTGGTCACTACTGTTACTGTCGCTGTGACTGAGGTGTACACAGGGTGGCTGAATCTTTCACTATCAATCGCCTAACCTCTCCTTCCTCACAATCCCCTCCCTCGCCATTCCCTGACCTGGCGCCACGCTTCTCTGCCCTCCTGGTCGGCCAGTCTGCACACATCAGATTGGAGGCAATATTTACCCGTTATCAGCGATTATCTTCGTTAATATCTCTCACCAAAGATAATGAATCCCAACATACAAAACAAATACACACTTAAAAAAAATCATGTACACGTGTCTCCATGATGATCAAAGCTCTAACAGGGCCAGTCATATTTACTTAATCATTGATGTTCACCTTGTAAATCTTCACCGTCCTCCAAAAGCCTCGAGTCCTCACGTCTGCAAGACAAGACGTAGAGACACTAACAAGGTCGACAACAGTGCCAGGTTAAGACGTCATAAGGGGGAGGTAAATAAGAAAAAACTGCTGATGGAAATGTGTCAAGAGGCCAGCCAGGCAGCGTGTCATGTCTTCCAGCTCTCCTGAACGCAGTGTGTGTTTTGAGCTGAGGACTTCTTGTTTCAGCAGCCGTGTACACTCTCTCTGCTTCTGAGTCACGGCGTTGTCTATGAGCAACACGTACGTTTATTTATATGTGCATGTTTATAATAATCACAACTGAATAAAAACACAACAGCATAATACTTAAATAATACAATATACACTTGGTAAAAAAATATCTTAATTCTTGTGCGAATCAAAATGACGTAACGAACGAAGATTTTTGATAAGGCCCATGCAGCATACGGTTATCCACCAATAATAATGCAACGAAATAATTTTATATTTCGAATTAAATACCTAAATTAGGCCTACCATAATAGGTAGGAAATGTCTCTCACGCCAACCAACCGTAGCGAGACAACAGGACAGTTCAGTCACATATTCACGAGACCCATCCTGAAAGAGTTTTTTACCGCCGAGTTTACACCATCCTAAACATTCACCACCATAAACATTTACCCATATAAACATACACCAACACAAACTAATACAAACACAGACGTGCAGGTAACAATAAGCAGCACGACAGGTAAGATTACACGGTCTGTTGTGGTCCTTGAAGAATATTAACACAGGCCCACAGGAATGTATTTACCCACAGAACTATGTTGACCTCACGACACTAAGTTCACAGAGGTTCCACCATGAAGCTCGTAACGGGTCTAGATGAACTTTCAGGTGTCTATTAGGAGTAATCCTGCAGGTTTTAGGTCACTCTGGTTCAACTTTGACTGTGAGCAATGAGGCAGGTTTAAAGTTAGGTCCTGTGATTAGTTAACTTCTTCCATTTTTTTTGTGTGTGTACTGAGAACAGTTTGCATACTTCATAAAGGTGTACATTTCAAACGACACTTTTAAGTCATTTTCCCTTTGTTTCACTATGGAATAATACATGTGCCAAATATTATGAGTAAGAATTATGCAAATAAGAATTCAATCAGGCAATTCACATCCTAAAGGCCAGTTAACTGTCCAAAACACCTTCAGAGATCATGCGCTACCAAGATCGAAACGACACGCCTAAAAAGCCTCGGTATCAACATGGACCTAACCACACAAGTCCTACTTAACCAGACAAATCTATTCAAGTATAATATATCACAATGATCCACAAAACCAACCACAGTGACGAAATATCTTTAACAGATGTCTTACGCAGAGAGTAACGTAAGTAGCACAAAAGGAGGACTTTAAAAGACGTTTCATACTACCGAGGCAAGAGTGAAACGTGAATAACCTACAGTATACACGTAAGTAATCCCATAGCAGTACAGCAGCAGCAGCAGCACCACAAAGAACTCTGGTAAATGTCTCGAGTTTGATAACACATAACTTGTCGCACACAATATGGACCATAGGAGTGTTATACGACTCCCCGTGAGTCACTCGAGCTATCGACAATACGTTTATCATCAGACATGGTTCACAAAGGTACAGCCCAGTATAACTTACCGTTAGCGCTTCAATCTTATCACCAACGTAGTCCTTGAGCTGTTCGAGGGTGGAGGGCGGGTCAGGGAGGCCCGGCACTGTGCCTGACCACTTCTCCTCCAAGGATGTGGACCCCCAGGGTAGACTTCCTAGTCTTACCATCCCGTATCTCCACTACCGTCTTCCCTCACCTTTACACTCCTCACCGCCACCACCAGTTTTCTTCTCAACTTTACGTGGTTGAGATACTTCATATAAAATTATAAAGACGGAGGTTTATTTCACAAGTTATTTTAATGTGTTCTACACTCAATGTTTTCACAAATATTGTTTCAGCAAACAATTAAACGACCAAACACAGTCCTTAAGTTCATTCAGCATTAGAGATATATCATAGAACTCTCAAAAGTACTAGAACTGGTATGGCAACTATAGTCAGCCACACACCAGTGTATGACAGGAAACTGTAGTACTGCTATATACAACGTCACCTTCACACCCTACAGCCTTACTGTCCGAGCGACAACAACACATCAGAGCTCCGCGCCGCCGGGAGAAACGTTCGTGTGGTTCACATTTCCGAAACCAATACTGATGTGCAGGTGCGTGAGTCAGCTCCCAGGCCAAGCCAGCAGTGCACACACCTCGCTCACCACTCTTTAGAACCTGAACTTGGCGGTGCTGCCTGTTAGGAGTGTGAAGTTACCAGTTACAGCACGAGCTCTGGACAGGAGATTACTGCTGGTTACGAGACTCGGTAAGTACTGCATGCGAACCAACGTCACAACACCAGAGAAAGCCAGGCTAATCGTCCAACAGATGGTCCTCGGCTCACGCCCCCACACCACACAAATTCTCACTCTTTGCTCAGTTTCGCAAAAAATTGAACCAGAACAAATTTTCACCGGGAACAACAGTTACAGGTGGACGCGGCTGTATCATTTCTTCTGCTGCACATACTGTACACGTGTGGTGGTTCCCAGGATCTGTGTACCATCGCCCTCTACCTTACTATTTAATGAGCATTTTCAGGGTGGCACTCACTCTCTACAACACACGCACACAATTATTGTACTGGATACTCTGATTAAGGTGATCGAAACAACAACTGGTCTCATTCACAAATAAGAATAAAATGATTTTTTTTCCTGAACACATCTTGCGGTTGTCTGATCACACAGTATTGTTTCACTTGCGTTTTACCCTTACGGCCACATACACATCTATCAGTGTGTGGAGGGAGGTGTCTGAGGGCTGGGCGTGTAGCAGCGACTGACGAACCTCCACTAGTTGACCAATAATAATTCATGACATCAATTAAGTCACGCCAAAACTGACACACACACACTAAATCTTCCAAAACATTTCAGACGAGGATATGACTCCTATAAGCAAAACGATAAAATTCATAAACCAGCAATACTTATACGTTCATCAAAAACCTCAAATTTTCCCAGGGTGTGAGAAGAATATTATACCACAATAACAACAAGTCGTGGAAAGTTAATCAGGTAAATCGAGGCGTGGATGTTGGGCCCCCAGTGGCTGGCACCGACGCCTGGTGGTGAGTGACGCACGCAACCCCACCCAGTAATGGCCCGGACACTGGTCATCCCCCCTCATCAACTATTTCCACAAACACGCACCCATTTACCCGTCACTCTCTCACAAGTGGAAGGACCAGCGAGGATATTCACACTTCATGACCTCGTCTGTGTGGCTTTAGAGTGATCACGAGATATACTGTACTAAGGAATTTCATTTGCTACATAAATGCCAATACAGTCGGCTACATAATGTCAGTACAGTTAGCTACAAATAATAAATTCCCGTCTATGAAATCTAAAACTCATATCGACCACCACACGCACATAGATCCATTACGATATACAAACATACACCATCAACACATTCAGTATTGATTGATACATCTCCTTGGAAATGGAAAGTTATTACCCTGCCTGCACCTACGAGACGGTATTGTTTTCGCCCGTCTGTCTCTGTCTCCGAAATAAACATGAACTTTTGGGACAAATCGCGATATAACTGATCAAGTGTTGTCATGGTAACGGCTTGAGTAATGATAACACACATGGATTCTCAGGAGTTATTGAAAACGATGGCATGAGACAGTCTCCAGCGTCAATAGATCGATATTTACTCTGCCATGGTAACGGTTCGCGGGCAGGGTTATGTAGGCGAGGTTTTGACACGCCCTACTGAACTCCGAATGGCGCCCTAAAATATACAAAAACAAAACATACAGTAATCAAGTAATGTATGATACAGCCAAGCGTAAGATTTTTATTTTTATTTTCAACTCTTGACTTATAAGGCTTTATACGATTTTTTCTTTAAATTTCTGTTATTACTGTCGCCTGCAAAACCATCAGCGTGAATAGATTGGTACAACAGCTCACTGACACATTCCAAATACCGTTTTACCTGACCATACCGTTTCAGCCAGGTTCCTGTCGTAAATACCTGGGATGTTTTCTTCCTACTGGAGAAGAACCAAAGAAGCAGCAGATATTTACACCTCACAGAGCACCCGGGAAATCTCACCCACAAAAAATTTAATAATTCGAGGAATCACAAGTCTCTCACACAATAAACAAAACTAATTCTCGATTCAGTTTTTGATGTGCTGCATATATTATGGTATGATTAAAATTTATTGTGATTCACTACTCCCTGTGATTTAGTACTTCGCGTGATTCAGTTTTTCCCGTAATTCAGTACTGTACTTCGTGTGATTCAATACTTCGCGTGAAGGAATAACTTACGCCATATTTCATCTGCAGCTTCGTCTCAAAGAACAATATTGTCTCCATTAATCTTCCTGTGTTCCCCAAGGTCCCATCAATAAAGACTCCTCCTCAACTAAGTCGTGAAGGAAGGCGAGAACTTAATTTTCCAGCAAGGTAATGTAGGTCATGGCGCCTACAGTAGGTCTGCCCAGCACTATCACTTACCATCATGACCCCATTCTTTCCCATCAATTATCATCGTACTTCTTTGATCTCTTCTTGTGAAAAGCAGTATACAACAGCTTTTGAAATGTATCTTTAAAAATATGAGTATTGTTGAACTTAGTAATAAATTTAATGCGAGGATTTATCATTTACCGGGGTCCTGGTAGCATCAGGTGGTAGTGAGAGTCGCGGGAGGAGTACAGTCGGGTGTCCGTGAGCAAGGTGTAAGGCTTGTTTCACTTGACGAGGATTAAGTTACGTGAATTAGAAATATATCATCATATGTACGCATTTTCTAGTGAAATTCTATGTTAAGAGTTTGAACCTCGTTAACACTCAACAAAACAAACACTGCACTTGGGGTATAATAACTACCGAGCAAGTGATTAATTTGCTGTATACATTAGACTGTAATCTAGGATATAAATTCTCAAGATTAATGACTCGATTAATCTTGTATATCTCTTTCCTCGTTAACTACATCTTAAGTATCTTGGATTTTATTTAATGACTCAAGAGTACAACACTGTTTTCCCATCTTTGTGTAGTAACTCCATGACCCAGCCAATGGAAATATTACAAGTGGTTGACACTCTTCAACTCACTATGTTTACTCCCAAGTCACCATTCTTATTCATACTGCTGTTGTGGCACGAGTGAGGCCGCCGCCCACAACAGTAACGAGACACCACCACCCACACCACCCCGTGCCTGCTGGTATCCCCATTCAAGTTATCCCCACCTCGGTCACTAACTTACCAAGTGATAAGCGAGTTACCGGGATAATACACAAACATTTGAACTATAGTTACTAAAATCCCCCAAAACAGATCCCACAGAACTATACAGCTACTGGTATTATCAAAAGGATAAAAAAATATAAAAAAAAGATAATAAGTAAATGATTGTAACGCGAAAATATGCTTAAAAGATGACTTGGGGAAAACACGCGTGAAGAAAATGTTTAACCCAGTAGTTCCCGCGTGTCGTCCAAGGTAGCAGCATGACACAGCGACACACCTACCCTCTCACCCCATGACTAGGCTGTACGTAGAGGCCAACCTGTAAATGAGGTCAACAACTAAAATGCTTTGTTCCTCTATAGGCAGTCTAGGGTAAGGTCATTAGAGGTCTTACGTCTGAGCTAAACTACCTCAAGAACACTCATCACTCCCTACCATCTCTTTTTATTCCTGTTATCTCATTTCATTCATCATTCCTCGTGGGCTCTTTCTATTTCCCTTTGTTTTTTTCTCTTCTCACAGTACTTGTTTTTCTAGTCTTTCTTTCTCCTTTTTGTTCTCTCATATCTCTTTCTTCTCATATACACTACAGTTCATCACTTCATTCATCATCATCTCCATGTGCACCATCTTCCTCAAGCTGCTACCTCACTACCAGGAGCCAGCGATCGTGCGTGGGCCGACCTTTACCTCTGCCCCGCGTCCCGTTACGTGTGGGTGACAACACCATTATTCCTCTCTCTCTCTCTCTCTCTCTCTCTCTCTCTCTCACACGCTTCCTGCTCTATCCCTTTCTGACCACTTTTGTCTTTTTGTGGTTAACTGGTCGAGGACAAGTAAGGTAGAGACAAAAACTACATATGATCGTTGCTGAAGGAAGTAATACAGTAAATTTTCATGAAAAGGTTACCGTTACCCCCGAGAGCAATGGCGGGGTGCAGGCACATAAGGAAGGCCTGATGTAGTGATGACATACCGGTATATTAAGAGGCCAGTTAATGTAGATACTATTGGTGACACCTGGAGAAATACATACAATGTTTATCTTTGGTTAATAATGTTTAACATCAGTAGTGGTCAGACCAGTCCCGCTCTGGGTAACATTGGTAGTAGCGATTACAGACTAACAGTAAGGACAGCAACAGAGGTACAGTAGTGGTATGGTGGTATTAGAGAAATGTTACGATGGGAATAATATTAATACTGTAATGATTCTCTGAAACATCTGGAAGTAACTAGTGTGGCAATGTGTAGCATCGGGTACGACCATGAACAAAAATGATGTAATACCTATGATCTACAGTAAGTATTGGTGAACTTTTTTGTGTTTCTTAATGTTGCTGGACGCCGGTGATGGTGCTGTGGTGTCCTCCAGTGATGTTGACCTTCAAGAAGAATTATGGGTAAGGGTTAAAGATAGAAATATCGTGAGTGTGAGGCCATATTTCATGGAGTAAGT